AATTAATATCTTAGTTACTAAGTCTGATAAATTAGTAGGAATTACTATGATATTAATAGTAGTAATTTATTGTATGTTTTAGTTTATTCTAATAGTATATATATATATATATATATATAAAACCTAAAAAAAATATTTTGTTTAATATCTTCCACGTGCAGTTTTTTTAAAAGCTTAGCAACCTACATCAAGCAGCAACCAAGTATAAAGGTCGTAACTGGAAGAGAGAATTGTTTGCTTTACTTCTTTAGTTACTGTTCTATGTTTTAAAAAAAATAAGTTTAAGAATTTATTTCAAAATAGCAATAATCTATATACATATATAATGTATAATAATTGAAATCTGACTATTTTACAAAATACTAGTCTACTAAAACACAGCCAAGACAAGTTACTTTGCACAGTTCAATTACCTTCTTGAACTCCTGTAATTGTAAAGTACTAGCCTCTACTATTGCTGATAACACAACTTCTCTAATTTAATTTTTAAATTGTAACTAAAGTGTAACTTTTAAGAAATTCACATATCACAATAACAACTACACCAAGTACAAGTTAAAAAGGTCATTGACTTCTTTACTGCTAAAAGTTTAATGTAAATCTATCACCATAAGTAAAACATCTTTTTTCCCTACTTCAATTTCATATTACTCGCCATCATTATACAGTTTTCTCATATTCGTCTCTAAAGTATAATAATAGTAAATAAGTAAATTATCCAACTTTCTCGAAGTCTGTACTTTTAACTTTGATGAACAGACCTATTCAGTATTCTGAAAGTTCCTGAGATCGTGAAATTATCATTAAGTAATGCTACTAATATTAATTATTAAACATACAAAACTGAGCACAGAAGCTTGAAACTATCTTGGTTTCTACGCACATTACGGCGTATAAAATAGAACATTAGGCTTACTATATATACATATTATTAGGCCTAGCTTCGCTCGCACGTTATAATAGTTAATCATTACACAAATACGCTAGTATGACATTTTTATATTTGTCTTTGGAGACAAAATTTCAAGGCAGATTTTATCTAAGTTTACAAGCAATAACTTAAATTTTACACAAATACATGGCGCTACCATAAGTAATAAATTTTAAAAAGAACACTTACGCGTTACTCTGATGAAGTTCTTTAATCAATATCACCTTCCGAGATTTCTCCTACCGGAAAGGTTTAATACCTCACGCAAGCCCCCTATATGTTAACTTTTTTGTATGATTCTTTCATGCTTTATATTTCTTCTCACTCTTCTTCATTCAATGTCAAATGTATAATATTTCTTAGTACTTGCAAATTATTTAAGCTTGTTTAATTTGTTTTTTTAATTTCGCGCAAAGCTACACGAGGGCTATCTGCG